AACGGGAAGACCACTTAACAAGGGGAGAATGGGAAGACCACTTAACAAGGGGAGAACGGGAAGACCCTCTTAACAAGGGGAGAACGGGAAGACCACTTAACAAGGTGAGAACGGGAAGACCACTTAACAAGGGGGAACGGGAAGACCACTTAACAAGGGGGAACGGGAAGACCACTTAACAAGGGGAGAACGGGAAGACCGCTTAACAAGGGGAGAACGGGAAGACCACTTACCAAGGGGATAAAACCAGGACAGAAAGGGCAAAATGTTATCACAAAGGGACAGTTCGTCACATTCGTTGATAAGACTGCTTTTGGTTTTTTTGGCCCTCCAATATTTGTAAAATGTATATGACGTGGCCCTTGTTTGGAGCCCCCGGCTCTATAACACCCAACCAGATTCCTAGAGATGTAATAGAGAGTCCCATTTGTTTAGTCATTTATCAAATGAGCCCGTGGCAGGAAGATTAGGTTAAATCCACGTTGATGAATGCCCCCCCCCCCCTGGAATGTCCTGGAATGTGAATTGAATTCTTGTTGCGTATGGATCTTCACACACATGTGTTACATGTTGGTGAATAGATGAGGGAATTGGTGTCATCTGTGTAGGTGTAGTGGGGGGTTGGCTGCCCTGAGTTTCCATGAATTTTCTCTCATCCATAACTTGTAAATCACTCCAGCTTTGGTCTCCTTAGTTCAGCATCCAAACTTTTCAGTCTGCCAGGAATCCCGTGTATCACTGTCTTGTCTCACTGACTCGCTTTATTCTTTGTGTACACAGAGAAAATCCACCATGAAAACAATACAAGTACCATGTCCCCAAAGCAAACACGTGCTGTCCCTACCAGCCATAGTCTTCTCACAGCTTCCCAGGAGGAACATAGAGGGTGCCTGGGACAAGGGCATGTGTGTACAGCTCCCAGGATATTCCCGGTCACCAGCCCATGACATGCTGATGTCATATTTAATGGCTGGAAAATTATTATTGAGTGAAACCCAACCAACCTTAGCACCCTGAGAAGATTGAATCAGCTTTGTTTTTAGAAGATAAACACAGGAATAATCTGCAGAGTGTTTTACAACACATTGAGATCCATCTGAGGTGTTGGATCTTTTCTCCAAAGTCTCTCATGAAATGACTTCAAATAAAAAACAATTTCTGGATCATTGCTTTGCAGCTTTTCCAAATAGATGAGATCTGAGTGTTGGGTGAAAGAAATTTGTGGATATTTTTAAATATAAACTCTTAACAGAATGACTTGCCCAAAGCTGTCCCATGTTGCCTCCAACACCGAGAACTGAGCAATCACATGACCTCTGATTGCTCAGTTCTCAGACAGCAGCCATTGTCACTGACTTCTCTACGCTGTGCTTCTCAAGCACTCACTGGAGGGCTGGGGTGGGGTGGACATGGCTGACTCCTATTCTCAGCCACACGCTGAGAGCTGCTAGGCAGTGGGGTGGATCCAGAACAGCCAACCTATGGTGATGGCGACACCAATCTATCCCGGTTATTCCTCCGGCCTACCATGACTTCTTAGACGTTTTCAGTAAGCGAGGAGCTGACATTCTTCCTCCGCACCGTTCCTACGATTGCCCCATAGACCTCCTACCCGGGTCGGAAATCTCGTTCGGCCGTATCTTTCCTTTGTCTGAAACGGAATCAGGAGTACTGAGGGAATATATTGACGAAAACCTTCGGAAGGGATTTATTCGTCCATCCACATCCCCAGCCGGGGCCGGGCTGTTCTTCGTAGAGAAGAAGGACAAATCATTACGGCCCTGCATAGACTACCGTGATCTGAACAAAATAACGGTAAAGAATCGTTATCCCTTACCCCTAGTCCCCGAGCTCCTCCAGAGATTGAGATCAGCAATGATATTTACTAAATTAGACCTGCGGGGGGCCTATAACCTTGTTCGTATCAGAGAGGGGATGAGTGGAAGACGGCTTTCCGTACGAGATTCGGCCACTATGAGTATTTGGTGATGCCATTTGGGCTCTGTAACGCACCGGCAACCTTCCAGCACTTTATCAACGATGTTTTTCGTGATTTCCTCGATGTTTTCGTGGTGGTTTATTTGGATGACATCCTAATTTTTTTCCCCTCACTGGAGGTTCATCGAGGTCACGTGTCACGGGTATTAGAATGGTTGCGTCAACACGGGCTATACGCTAAGGCAGAAAAGTGCTGTCAGGGCAATCCGGGTCAATCACAGGGGCAGGCAGCGTAGTCAGGGTCAAACAGGGTCACTAGACGGGTGCAGGAACTCAGAATCACAGATAGACCTTGCGGCAATTACTGACAGTGCAGGGCATCTTTAAATAGTGCACCCTGCACTGTCATTGGCCGCTCAGGACGCGCCCCCGGGCTGTCATTGGCCGCCCGAGGCGCGCCCGCGGCTTCCACTGCACATGCGCGGCGTCCTGTCATCCGCGGCTCGCCGGGACCTGGTGCCTGTGTCCCGGCGTGAGCCGTCGCCAGCGCGCATGCGCCGGCCGACAGGACGCCGCGATCCCTGACACTCTGGCAGACTCCTCTACCTCTGGTAGAGATACCCAGCAGCTGCGACCTGGTCCCGGAGTGCTCCAAGTCCATCCCCACCATCAGGGGCCCTGGTGAACAAGTGCTCCGGTACTTAGACTCCGCAATCTGGGGAGGCTCTATCAGGGGACTGATAGAGGTGCTGTCAGGTGGTCCGTTCCAGTGCCGTTCCAGCGCTAAGTGCATGAACACGGCACTTTAACTAAGGCGCTTCAACAAAGGCAAGTACAAACATTAGTGCTGCACTCCAAGTAGTCTGCAAGTGCTCAGCAATCTTCTCAATGGTCAAACCATGTCTATAAGGTGCTGGCTTTGTACACGGGGCACAGTCATGCTAGACCACCAGTTACCACAAGGCTGGAAGAGCACAATTAACTAAAATGTCTTTGTCTGGTGTACCCTTCGCCTGAACTACATCACTTGGACGAGGTTCACATGCTGTAGGCCATAAACTAGGTGCGATGGTAAGGTGTCCACAAGCATTGGGCCGTATAATGTACTTTATACTTCAGTACAAAGATTGAAATTTAGCAGAACTAAAATATTAGCCTTTGACTCCATAATAATCCAGCACAGTAGCTGAGATTTGTTTCTGTGAACTTACGGTATATCTTCAGGTGAAGATCAGGCAGCTGTGCACATTTAATGGTTCCCTCTCTCCCCGTGCCCTTCTTCATGTTCCAGAGACAAGATAAGGAGTAATGTGAATCCTGTGCAGATACTTCATCGGCCTCAGCTTTGTAGTGTGTGGCAGGTCTACGTGCTGCTGGCCACTAATTACATTGACTGGCTGTGATATACAGCTACCTCTGACCTCGGGATTGCTCCTTGTAACTAAATATATCCATCAACAGCCCATTATATGGAAGTCTTCTGACCTCCCACCACTATATAATGTAGATAAGACCTGCCTGCAACAGGGACGCCAGCAACTCAAACTTGGTACCCTTCCAATCCATATACATCAACATACCAATATAAAGTGGCATATCTGAAATTGTATAGCAGAATGTGTGCCAGTCCTGGGCCCAAGAGGGATCAGGATGGTGACAGTAGTCCAGATAATGAGGACAGACAGGGATATGTAGTGTACAGAAGTTTTACTATATTGTTTATAGTATGTGTGTCCTTTTTTGTTGGCCACGGTTTACTGAGTGCCCAGGGTGAGGGTCGCCTATCATTAGGGACGGCTTCACACTGCCCTGCTGCGCTTTTGCTAAAACTCAGCTACCCCATGTTTTTTTCTGTGGGTTAGCTGTGCTTTCTTTCCTATAGACTTCTGTGAGGTCCGGCAGTTTGGTGTGTGTTTTTAGAAAGCTCACCAAAACTCCTTTATGCGTCATCTTTGGTTCGCTTTCTGAAACCGCAATAAAACCGCAGGATATAATAGAAATCAAAAGTACATCTAACCTGCATAAAAAATGTGAGTTAGCTGCACTTTGTCCAAAGCACCATCCCAAAGCTACCGCATTGGGATGGTGTGAAGCCTTCCTAAAGCTGTGATCCAGCCAAGGCCCTTCTACATTCGCCCTCAACAAACAAAACCCTCCACCCTCTTCCTCGCTGTAGCAAAAACGAATCTTAAAGAGTATCTAAACCCCTAAAAAATGCAATATTGCAGCTTACCAGTCCTTAAATGTGGTGGCTGTGTTCATTTTCTGGGGACATCAGAACAGGTGTTAATGGTAAATCTTCCAACGGAGACCCTGGATTTCTCTCATTTTCTGTTGTGTGGGACAAGCCTACCTCCAGCTATCTCTTAAGTCTTGCACAGGTGTACCAGCTCCTCCCCTTCAGTCTTGCACGGTGTACCGGCTCCTCCCCTTCAGTCTTGCACAGGTTGTACTGGCTCCTCCCCTTCAGTCTTGCACAGGTGTACTGGCTCCTCCCCTTCAGTCTTGCACATGTGTACTGGCTCCTCCCCTTAAGTCTTGCACAGGTGTACTGGCTCCTCCCCTTCAGTTTTGCACAGGTGTACCGGCTTCTCCCCGTCAGTCTTGCACAGGTGTACCTGCTCCTCCCCTCCAGTCTTGCACAGTTGTACTGGCTCCTCCCCTCCAATCTTGCACAGGTGTACGGACTCCTCCCCTTCAGTCTTGCACAGGTGTATCGGCTCCTTCTTTCCAGTCTTGCACAGTTGTACCGGCTCCTTCCCTCCAGTCTTGCACAGGTGTATTGGCTCCTCCCCATCCAGTCTTGCACAGGTGTACCGGCTCCTCCCCTTCAGTCTTGCACAGGTGTACCTGCTCCTCCCTTCAGTCTTGCACAGGTGTACCGGCTCCTCCCCTTCAGTCTTGCACAGGTGTATTGGCTCCTCCCATCCAGTCTTGCAAGGTGTACCCGGCTCCTCCCCTTCAGTCTTGCACAGTTGTACCGGCTCCTCCCCTTCAGTCTTGCACAGTTGTACTGGCTCCTCCCCTTCAGTCTTGCACAGGTGTACCGGCTCCTCCCCTTCAGTCTTTTGCAGGTGTACCGGCTCCTCCCCTCCATTCTTGCACAGGTGTACTGGCTCCTCCCCTTCAGTCTTGCACAGGTCTACCGGATCCTCCCCTTCAGTCTTGCACAGTGTATACCAGCTCCTCCCCTTCAGTCTTGCACAAGTGTATTGGCTCCTCCCCTTCAGTCTTGCACAGTTGTATCGTCTCCTCCCCTTCAGTCTTGTGCAGGTGTATCAGTCTCCTCCCCTTCAGTCTTGCACAAGTGTACTGGCTCCTCCCTTCAGTCTTGCACAGTTGTATCGGCTCCTCCCCTTTAGTCTTGCACAGGTGTATCATCTCCTCCCCTTCAGTCTTGCACAGTTGTACCGGCTCCTCCCCTTCAGTCTTGCACAGGTGTAGCGGCTCCTCCTCTTCTGTTTTGCACAGTTGTATTGGCTCCTCCTCTCCTGTCTTGCACAGGTGTATTGGCTCCTCCTGCCTAGGTACAGTAGAAATGAACCCGATCAAAAATCATCTTCAATATTTTTAAATCTGCAGCTTTCTGTAAAACAATCCCTGGTGATCCTGCCATGAAGGTTCTTGTTCAGGCACTTCCTGTTCTAGGGTGACAACAGATTGTGCTCCTGCGGCGTCACCCTGTCACATTGGGCTCCTGATGGAGACTACAAGTGACCCTTTCAATGCACATTACACAGGCACGGTCCATTGCTGTCACCATCCGGAAAGCCCACCCTGACCAACGCAGGAATGCACATAGGCAGTAAAGAGGCTGTCAGGGGTCAGCAGCACTGAGATGCAAGGCTAGGTTTGCACTAGTGCTGGTCAGGAACATGCACTGCCCTTTAGCAAACACGTTGTGGTGCCATGCTTTCCAGTGCGGTGCGATTGTGGAAAATGGTCAGTACTTCTGTTCCACGTTTCTCGCTCATAGGGCAGCACATTGAAATGAATTCCTACACACAATGCGTGGGAATGCGCTGAAACCATATGGAAACACGTGCGCCGTATCACACGCAGAAGTATGTACCAAGCCTTACAAAGGAAAAAAAAAGACAGGACCATTGTTTATGATACACAGCACACCCAGCAAACGAAATGCCTTCAGAAATAGCTGACATCTCCTTCAATTGCATTCTCTTAGTGTTTTGATGGAGCTCCACACATCTGGAGCAGACTCGTCCACACTCCCGGCAAGCTGTGACTATCTCCCGAGGATCCTGCCGAAGATAAGATCTATCACAAACTGCTCCATAAAATACCACTAATAACCCATCTCTGAGCTCAGGCTATCGCTGCCAAAACTCTTGGAGGAAATCAAAGAAGGAGCGAGGACAGCGCCAAAAAATCTCTTAAGCGGTAATGTCTGGATGTGTTTGTACTCTGGATCGTGTCTGCTTCCCCTCCGCAGATGTGCAGAACGAGGTACAAACACCGCACAGCTGCAGATGGGCCCTCTATGAGAAGGGGTTGTACTCCAATGGGTGCCTAGAGCCTTGCTGGGACATGTCGGAGTTTTGGAAGGAAGATTTTCGTACGATTAGAGACAACTTTTATAAAGTGGATCAGAGTGAAAAGTCTGACACCTATAGCAAAAATTCTATTTTATATCTTCTACCTACCATAGCAAAACATATAAAGTGTATCTACAGCCTAAACGTTTTTTAGGTTTGTCATACTACAAGGGAGGGTATTGATTGACTGATGCCATGTTACAAAGGGAGGGTAGTGATTGACTGATGCCATGTTACAAGGGAGGGTAGTGATTGACTGATCCATGTTACAAGGGAGGGTAGTGATTGACTGATGCCATGTTACAAGGGAGGGTAGTGATTGATGATTCCATGTTACAAGGGAGGGTAGTGACTGATTCCATGTTACAAGGGAGGGTAGTGATTGACTGATTCCATGTTACAAGGGAGGGTAGTGATTGACTGATTCCATGTTACAAGGGAGGGTTGTGATTGACTGATTCCATGTTACAAGGGAGGGTAGTGATTGACTGATTCCATGTTACAAGGGAGGGTAGTGATTGACTGATGCCATGTTACAAGGGAGGGTAGTGATTGACTGATTCCATGTTACAAGGGAGGGTAGTGATTGACTGATTCCATGTTACAAGGGAGGGTAGTGATTTGACTGATTCCATGTTACAAGGGAGGGTAGTGATTGACTGATTCCATGTTACAAGGGAGGGTAGTGATTGACTGATTCCATGTTACAAGGGAGGGTAGTGATTGACTGATTCCATGTTACAAGGGAGGGTAGTGATTGACTGATTCCATGTTACAAGGGAGGGTAGTGATTGACTGATTCCATGTTACAAGGGAGGGTAGTGATTGACTGATGCCATGTTACAAGGGAGGGTAGTGATTGACTGATTCCATGTTACAAGGGAGGGTAGTGATTGACTGATTCCATGTTACAAAGGGAGGGAGGGTAGTGATTGTGATTGACTGCCATGTTACAAGGGAGGGTGAGTGATTGACTGATGCCATGTTACAAGGGAGGGTAGTGATTGACTGATTCCATGTTACAAGGGAGGGTGGTGGTAGTGATTGACTGATTCCATGTTACAAGGGAGGGTTGTGATTGATTCCATGTTATGTTACAAGGGAGGGTTGATTGATTGATTGATTTATTGATTGATTGATGTCATGTTACAAGGAGGGTTGTGATTGATTGATTCATGTTACAAGAGAGATTCCATGTTTGATTGATTGATTGATTGATTCCATGTTACAAGGGATTGATTGACTGATTCATGTTACAAGAGAGGGTTGTGATTGATTCCATGATTGACTGATTCCATGTTACAAGGGAGGGTTGTGATTGACTGATTCCATGTTACAAGGGAGGGTAGTGATTGACTGTTTCCATGTTACAAGGGAGGGTAGTGATTGACTGATTCCATGTTACAAGGGAGGGTAGTGATTGGACTGATTCCATGTTACAAGGGAGGGTAGTGATTGACTGATTCCATGTTACAAGGGAGGGTTGTGATGATTGATTCCATGTTACAAGGGATGATTGACTGATTCCATGTTACAAGGGAGGGTAGTGATTGACTGATTCCATGTTACAAGGGAGGGTAGTGATTGACTGATTCCATGTTACAAGGGAGGGTGTGATGATGACTGATTCCATGTTACAAGGGAGGGTTTGATTGACTGATTCCATGTTACAAGGGAGGGTATTGTGATTGACTGATTCCATGTTACAAGGGAGGGTTGTGATTGACAAGGGAGGGTGTGATTCCATGTTACAAGGGAGGGGTGATTACAAGGGATAGTGGCCATGTTACAAGGGAGGGGTGATGATTGACTGATTCCATGTTACAAGGGAGGGTAGTGATTGACTGATTCCATGTTACAAGGGAGGGTAGTGATTGACTGATTCCATGTTACAAGGGAGGGTTACAAGGGAGGGTGATTGACTGATTCCATGTTACAAGGGAGGGTTGTGATTGACTGATTCCATGTTACAAGTGGGATTCCATGGGAGGGTGTGATTGACTGATTCCATGTTACAAAGGGAGACTGTATGTGATGATGACTGATTCCATGTTACAAGGGAGGGTTAGTGATTGACTGATTCCATGTTACAAGGGAGGGAGGGTCCATGTGATTGACTGATTCCATGTTACAAGGGAGGGTAGTGATTGACTGATTCCATGTTACAAGGGAGGGTAGTGATTGACTGATTCCATGTTACAAGGGAGGGTAGTGATTGACTGATTCCATGTTACAAGGGAGGGTTGTGATTGACTGATTCCATGTTACAAGGGAGGGTGTGATTGATTGACTGATTCCATGTTACAAGGGAGGGTAGTGATTGACTGATTCCATGTTTACAAGGAGGGAGGGTGATTCCATGTTGAGGGTAGTGATTGACTGACTGATTCCATGTTACAAGGGAGGGTAGTGATTGACTGATTCCATGTTACAAGGGAGGGTTGTGATTGACTGATTCCATGTTACAAGGGAGGGTATGTGATTGACTGATTCCATGTTACAAGGGAGGGTAGTGATTGACTGATTCCATGTTACAAGGGAGGGTAGTGATTGACTGATTCCATGTTACAAGGGAGGGTAGTGATTGACTGATTCCATGTTACAAGGGAGGGTAGTGATTGATGTTACAAGGGCCATGTTACAAGGGAGGGTAGTGATTGACTGATTCCATGTTACAAGGGAGGGAGGGTAGTGATTGACTGATGCCATGTTACAAGGGAGGGAGTGATTGGTAGTCATTACAAGGGAGGGATTGATTGATGCCATGTTACAAGGGAGGGTAGTGATTGATGATTCCATGTTACAAGGGTAGGATTGTAGTGATTGACTGATTCCATGTTACAAGGGAGGGTAGTGATTGACTGATTCCATGTTACAAGGGAGGGTAGAGGGTGATGCCATGTTATTGAGTGATTGATGCCATGTTACAAGGGACTGATTCCATGGGTAGTGATTGACTGATTCCATGTTACAAGGGAGGGTGTGTGATTGATGATTCCATGTTACAAGGGAGGGTAGTGATTGACTGATTCCATGTTACAAGGGAGGGCTGTGATTGACTGATGCCATGTTACAAGGGAGGGCTGTGATTGATTTCATGTTACAAGGGAGGGTTACAATTGACTGATTCCATGTTACAAAGGAGGGTTGTGGTCGACTGATATCATATTGCAAGAGAAGGTTGATTGATTGATTGATTGATGTTTCATGTTACAAGAGAGGGTTGTGATTGATTGATGTCATGTTACAAGAGAAGATTTGTGATTGATTGATGATGTCATGTTGATTGTTGATTTATTGATTGATGTCATGTCATGTTACAAGGGAGGGTTGCAATTGTCTGTTGTCATGTTACAAGAAAGGGTTGGGATTGACTGATTCCATGTTACAAGGGAGGGTAGTGATTGACTGATTCCATGTTACAAGGGAGGGTAGTGATTGACTGATTCCATGTTAAAAGGGAGGGTAGTGATTGACTGATGCCATGTGTGACTGATGCCATGTTACATGAGGTAGTTGTGTGTGACCGATGCCATGTCACATGAGGTAGTCATGTGTAACTGATGCCATGTTACCTGAGGTAGTCATGTGTAACTGATGCCATGTTACATGAGATAGTCATGTGTGACCGATGCCATGTCACATGATGTAGTCGTGTATGACTGATATACCATGTTACATGAGGAAGTCGTGTGTGACTGATGCCATGTTACATGAGGACATCCTGTGTGACTGATGCCATGTTACATGAGGAAGTCCTGTGTGACTGATGCCATGTTACATGAGGAAGTCTTGTGTGACTGATGCCATGTTACATGAGGAAGTCCTGTGTGACTGATGCCATGTTACATGAGGAAGTCCTGTGTGACTGATGCCATGTTACATGAGGATGTCCTGTGTGACTGATGCCATGTCACCAATGATGAGACACAATTCCTCTCATTGACAACAACGATGTGGTCCAATTTCTCCCAGTGACACGAACAATGGGGCCCAGTGACACCAATGATGAGGCACAATCCCTTCCAATGACCTAAAAAATGGGGCACTGTTTTTTCCAACTGACATCAGGACATTTTCTACTCCCAATGGCCATAGTCCGGCCAACCTAAAGTCTGAAGGACAGTAAACTGGTCCTTTGTTTAGAAAGTTTGGAGACCCCTGATACAGGAGATTGCTACCCTG